AAATAGTGAATATTTATTAACTAACAATTTTGTACACTTATGGAGTATAATCCTATTTACATACCACTGGATACTCTTATATTTTTTATTCCTAAAATGGCCATAGAATCTGAAGTTTCCATTGTGTTTGGGAGTAACAGCATCCAGAACAAAATAGCATGGAATGACTGATTGACCTGATGCTCCCTTCACAGGTGCCATGAGAGGTGATGTTTTCCATCCTGGATCAGAATGAATCTGCCAAATCCTGTGGATGAGATACAGTTAAAAGCTATGGGAACTCCAGAGGTCACATTAGGGCTTGGCCAGACTGACAGGCTAGAATTTTCATAGGCTCGTAAGATAAAAGGGGTAGTATGTAAAATGAACATGAGCTACCAAATTGTCTTCCAGGATTGGACTCTGAGATAAGAGATCTTGGAGAATAAATCTCCTTCTTAGGTGAGATCCCAGTTCCCTGAGTGTCCTCTCACCTGTTATCACCAGCTCCATGGTATCATTGTGCTCTGAAAAGCCAGCAGCACTCTTACAGGAACACTTATATACATATGGGTAAGTGTACGTCATGATTTGAATGTTGAAGTTCATCTTATTTCCAGTTTCCAGAGGGAATTCAATGTCCCAAGGATCTGTGCTTCAGTCTTTATGCAGAAGATACTCCTAGGCCTCCCAGGATCCCTGACACCAGATAATCGCAAGTTTATACATGGCAATCACAGAGCCTGGCTCAGCCCAGAGGATGGGATTTGGGAGTGGTCCTGTAAAGAGATCAAAGGCTGAGTTGCAGTACATCTTTCTCAGACACAATCTCTTAGCACAGAACAACCTCATGGAACAAGACTTTAGCCTATAAATGCTTTGATCCCCATCGCCATTGTGAGAAATTGACCCACTAAAGAGTAAAATCGAGGGTTTTCTCATCAGAGTGAAGAATCAAGAATCAACCTATGAACACTCACCTGCCTGTACTGCAGTTTTGTGTTTCAAAATAAGACCTAGAAAAAACCTTTCTCTCAGAACCACAGTGGATCCCCTAGAGTGTCCATGTGAAATTAAACCCAGCTGTTGAGTAGGTTCCCTGGCAGACTTAAGTATCCACTCCCCGTCTTTATATCTCACCAAGGTACAGCAGCCCTGTGAGCATAGCAATCATGGTGAGTCCTGGTAATGTTTGTAGCTTTGCTCCTGGGCCAGTCTGACCATATTCTGTAACATCAGCAGATATGAAGATGTAATCTTGAGAGCAGGTCCTTCCTGCCATGGGTTTTCCACATCATTGTTGTTATGGGAAGGGAACCTTCTCTATTTTCCTCACTACAGACAACTAGGTAAATACTCAGGTCTCTGAAGTTCCTTTAGAAATTTTTTTTCTCTTCCTCACAGATTTCCAGCTATCCCTGTTTTTTCTAATCCAGAGTACATTCACATGTAACAGCATTTTATTTTAAACTAGAAACAATTGTAGATACAGGTTAGGAAATGTGATGTTGCCCAAAACCAGCACAGTGTTCTGAGATAAAACATGCTCATGCTCTTTCAACTGGAGGACACAATACTAATGTGGCTCTACTGACTCAAGTCACATGAGGTGTCTCCTAGCAGGTCTGCTCTCATTCCTGACTAAACTCCAGTGATCTTCTTGAAACCACCACGATTTTATATGTTTGTGTTTAAGTTCTGGGCATGAGAATATAGGCACCTTTGTATTTAGTATTCTGTTTAGTAGTAGAATTTTGCATTTGTCCACATGAACTTTGGTAACTTGCTCCTATTATTGCAGAAAGATAATAGTAGCACCAAGTCCTGGGGATGCCTGTGGATTAATGATTCTATCTTCTAAGGATGACATGAAAGAAAGATGGTGTTTCCCTTTTCCAGTTTCAGTAGCTGTGATGTCAATATAAGTTTTTCATTGCCTGGACTTATAAGTACTTTATTATGGAAGATGAGAGGTTTTCACAATGTTAGTCATCATGCTGATATTATTTTTCCTTGAAGCAGTAAGAAAAGAGAAAAAAAAGTGTTTTTTTGGTGGGGGGGGGCAAAGATTTTTTTTACTTTTGTTCCCCAAGACCTGATTTCCAAGAGATAAGAGAGTCTGCACTTGTTGAATGAGACTTATTCCCAAGTAGAATGTGATTATTTGTTGCTACATTATGTATTTATTTTGTTTATTTGCTATAATGTGCTAGTTGATGTAGTTTTCCAGGCCAGGCATGTATTATCTCTCAGTATTCACAGGCAATTGGACAGGTGATTACTATTCTTCACCACACTTACCATGTCACCTTTTAATACACTAAAAGCCACCTAGGCGAGTTGAGGCTTCCTGAAGAGATCCTGACTCTGGGACTTTATTTCTTATCCTGTGGTGTCTCGTATGAGATATGTTACCTCTTTTATGATAACACCAACTAAATGCTCAATATATGCCTATGTTGCAGTAAATATCCAGCCCAAATAAGCCTGGTCAAATAAAACACAATGATTATGAATACAAGCTGCATGCCTAGATTGGGAAGAATTACCATTACACTACTCTATTCCCCATTTATAAGATCCCTTATAACTTATGCTTTTTCCAGGCCATGTGCTTCTGCTCCATTGTTCTTCTACCCCATCCTTCTCCTGATCCTGCTTTTGCTGCTGCTGCTCCTCCTCCTACTCCTCCTTCTCCTCGTCCTCCTCCTCAATAGTTATCTCTCTCTCTCCTCTCCACCAAAATTTTCAGCTCTACCTTCCCTTCTACTGCTCAATCACTGTCTCTAGCCTGTTTATACAAGTTAAGGTGGGCAGAAGGTTCACAGGAAGTCACCTGGGTCTGTGATTCACTCTTTGTTTGAAGCCCCAGTGGGGAAATTGAAATTAGCATCAAAATACAAGATCAGAGTTATCTACAACATGTCTACGTATATATATTTTTTAAAAATCCTACAGCAGTAATTTTAATATGAAAATAATGAAATGACACACACACACACACCACATTTGCCCAACTCCTACTATATCATCAAACACACCCTACCATTAATCTTTGCTGTACCTTGATTCTCTTCATTCCATAATGGTAGTTTGTTGTATCTACCAACAGTTTACCTTCTATGGATATGGCCCCTGACTAATTTACTGATATCCATGGGTATACTAGATGAAGCACAAACATAATGTTTCAAGGGTAATACCTGCACATAGGAGAAAACATGTGGTGCTTCTATTTCTAGGTATAAGTTTGATCACTCAGAATGAGTATTTCAAGTTCCATACATTTATGTATAATATTTATCTTCTTCACTCTTTCAGGATAAGATCAAATGGGAGAGGAGATGGTGATGTAGTCTCAGCACTGAGAAAAATGCAGATAATGCATTTCTTGTTTAATTTTTCCTTTATGTATGCATAATTCCAAAAATACAATCTGTAATGCACTTACATCATTGCTGACAGACATAACTTCTTTACTATGGAGAGGCAATAATTGTGTTCAGACAATAATATTTGATTGGAAGTTAAGATTTATCATGTTCTTGAAATATCTGACTACCTGGACCCTTATTAGTTTAATAAGAAACATGTCCCCTGTTGAGTTTTATAATTTTGGTATTCATTACACACCATTAACTATGAATATTACCAGTTCTGGAGACTCCATAACCACTATGTGCTTTATTCCCTCTGTGTAATATAAAGGCAAATGGCGATTGGCAATTGTTGATATTCTAGTTAGGGATGCCTGAAATGAGCTTGCATGTATTCCAGTAGTCTCATAATGATTACAAACACAGTTGTTTGGGCAATTTCATTTGGGTGGGAGGAATAAACATTCTAATACCCCCACATAAGTCATCACTGCTACAAACAAATAAATGATGTCATTCAAGTGTGGTGTAATGAACCAATGACTGTAACTGGTATTATACACCCAAAGTATGGGTGGAAGTACAGATGAACTTAGGAAATTATTAAAATTCTATGCCACCGAAAAACCCTCTAACTTTTCTCTTATTTATCTGCTTCAAAAAATATATCATCATGAAGACTAATTCTGTGAAAACCTTCCATCTTTCATAATACAGTACTTAGATGTCCAATCAATGAAAAACATGTTTTGACATCACAGCTAATGAAAATGGAAAAGAGAAAACAACACCTTTCTTTCATGTCATCCTCAGATAATAGATTTACACAATGACCAGGCATCCCCAGGGCTTGGTGCTACTGTTATCTCTCTGGAATAATAGGAGACAGTCACCAAAGTTCAGGTGGAATAATGGACAATTCCAGTACTAAACAGAATAATATATCCAAAGGTGCCTACATTCTCATGCCCAGAACCTAAACTTAAACCTCTGGAACCAGAAAGACCTTAAGTTAAAGATCTTAGAGGAGAACTTAATTCTGGTGGTTTCAACACAATAATAACATCATGATAATGAAAATGTGTAGACAAAGGTGTCAGCATCACAGTAACAAGTGAATAGAGAGAAAAGACTTGGTAACATGCTGTTCCTTCATTTCAATGGATCAGGCAAATTTGGCAAAATTTGGAGAAGACCACTGGAGCTTAGTCAGGAATGTGGGCCGACCTGCTATGAGACATAACTTAAGGAACATGTGATATGAGTCAATGGAGCCACCTTGGGATTATATCCTCCAATTAAAGAGCATGAATGTGTCTTGACTTAGTACACTGCTGGTTTTGACCAATATTACACTTCCTAACCTGAATCTACAATTGTTTATAATTTCAAATAAGATGCTCTTATATCTAAATGTACTCTGGCTTGAAAAACAGAGGGATAGCTAGAAATCTGTGAGGAATAAAGAAAAAGTTCTCTTAAAGCTTCAGAAAACTGAGTATTTACCCAATCCTCTGTATTCAGGAAAATACAGAAGTTTCCCTTCCTTTAGTAACAATGATGTAGAAAACCCATGACGGGAAGGACCTGACCTCAAGATGACAACTGCATATCTGCTGATTGTTTCAGATTGTTTCAGGACACAGCTACGAACATTACCAGGACTCACTATGATCACCATGCTCACAGTGCTGCTGTATCTTGGTAAGATATGAAGAGGGGGAGTAGACACTTAAATCTGTAAAGAAACCTACTCAACAGCCAGGTTTAATTTCATATGGGGATCCCTGGGGATCCACTCTGGCCCTTAATGTGAAAAAGCTCTGAGAGAAACTTTTCTTCCAGGGCTTATTGTGGAACACAGGACTGCAGTAGAGGCAGGTGAGTGTCTCTAGCGATCCCAGGATTTGATTCTTCACTCTGATTAAAAAAAAAAAACCTTTATTTTACTGTTAGTGGGTCAATTTCTCTTAATGGTGATGGGGAAAAAGGCACTTATGAGGTAGGTTCTTGTTCCGTGGGAGTGTCCTGTGTTAAGAGCTTGTGTCTACAGGAAGATGTACTGGGAGTCAGCCTTTGATTTCTTTGCAGGACTCCTCCCAAAGCCCATCATCTGGGCTGAGCCAGGCTCTGTGATTGCCATGTATAAACCTGTGATTATCTGGTGTCAGGGGTCCTGGGAGACCCAGGAGTATTCTCTGCATAAAGAGAGAAGTGTGAATACTTGGGACAATCAATTCCCTCTAGAAACTACGAATAAGGCGAAGTTCAACATTGAATTCATGACAGAAACTTATGCAGACATATATAAGTGTTCCTATAAGAGTGCTGCTGGATTTTCAGAGCATAGTGATGCCATGGAGCTGGTGATGACAGGTGAGAGAACACTCAGGGAACTGGGCTCTCACCTAAGGAGGAGACCTATTCTCCAGGAGCTCTTATCTCAGAGTTCAATCCTGGAAGACAATTTGGTAGCTCATGTTCATTTCACATACTACCCCTTGTATCCTAGGAGCCTATGAAAATCCCAGCCTGTCAGTCTGGCCAAGCCTTGATGTGACCTCTGGAGTTTCCATAGCCTTTAAGTGTAGCTCATCCTTAGGATTTGGCAGATTCATTCTCATCCAGGAAGGAAAATATAACCTCTCATGGACCCTGGACTCAAAGCAAAATGATAGTCATTCATTCTACGCTACTTTTGTTCTGGATGCTGTTACTCCCAACCACAATGGAACCTTCAGATGCTATGGCTATTTTAGGAATGAACCCCAGGTGTGGTCAAAATCAAGTAACCCTCTTGACCTCATGGTCTCAGGTAAGCACCTCCCACCCATCATCTTTCAGTGTGTTGGGTCACTTGGTTCTTTTTCCTAAGATGATCTCTGACCTAGAATAAGAGGAAGGAAGCCCTGAGGTTAAAAATACTGTACAGTTCAAAAGACAGTCACCCCTCAATACAGGAGTTGCAGTCAGAATCCCCTGCTCAAAGTGCCTTCCTCTTTGTAGTTTAGCAGTTGCAGTTGTGAGGAACACACAATTGATGAAGTGATCAGATAATGTCTCTGTACTAGTTAGATTCCTATTTTTGTTGTAAAGCCCCATGATTGAAATAAAGCAACTTAGTGAGAAAAGGATTTATTCCATCTAATTTTGTATGGAGCATCATAAAGGTAATTAGATGTAGGCATGCAAGCAAGAATTGAAGTAGGGATTTTAAAGAAGCACTGCTCACAAGTTTACTTGCCAATGGCTTTCAGTATTGCTTTCTTATACCATCAAGGTCTAACCACTTAGGATTAGAATAAACCACAGTGGTCTGGGCCCTCATAGATCAATCAGTCAGGAAAATGTTTCCACAGACATGCCTATAGTCCAACAATATAGATGTAATGTCTCTATTGCAGCTGCCTCTTTCCAGGTTACTCTAGCTTGTATCAAGTTAGCAAAATCTAATGAGAACTGTCTTCAGAGGCAGACACTGTCCATTTTCCTTTTGTTTTTATTTGCTAAAATCATGTGCCCAGATTCATGGTAATAGCTGAACAGCAGAAACTTTTGGTACATGTGTTGCACAGATTCAGTGGGGGCAGTTCTGAGTCCCCCAGAGTCTCTACCCTCCCTATATATTCAATGATAAGCTTTGTATAAGATTGATAGGCTGAGCTATGATTTTCATAGACATCCAAGAACCCAGAATCACAAAATCTTGTCTGCAACAGGATAATATTCTTTTGAAATTAGTATCCAGATTGAGATAGAAAGAGACAGGACATAGTAAAGTGTTGTGGACTCTAATGTTCATCTCTCTATCAACCTCTGGCAGAAACCAAGGACCTGTCCTCTACACCCATTGAAGATGGTAAGTGAGGGCTCTCCTGGCAGGTGGGTATAACAAGATTTGAGATCATTATGAGTTGGTGAATCCTCCTCTGAAGTTAAGAAAGTGGGAGATCTGAACTTAGTTGTGAATTAGATGATATGTTCCTTGCATAGCTTAGGGTTCAATATCTGTCTCTACCTAAATTTCATACCCTCCTTTACACAAGCTTCTGATTTCTTGGGTTCCTGAAATTTCTGATAGTATCTTCCTAGGCTCCAGCTCCATAGACAAATTTTATTGAACAATAATGGAAAATAAAAATGTTCTTTTGATATTCAGACATGAGAAAAAACCTTTCTCTGAGTCCTTTCCTTGATTTCTGCTAGTGTAAAGGAAGAGGTTTGTCCATACCTTTCAACTGACTTCCATTGCTTTCCTTGGTGTGACATCCTAGGTGAGGAGTCCCATGCATTGAACTCCAGTTCTGAAATGACCATGTCCCCTGTGCCACAAGGATGGTGACACAGTCCACTGGAAAAGACTCAGAGATGATACTAGGCATTCACCTGCTTTCATGCTCAAATAGTTTATGAACTGTAGTGAGGACAAGGCCGGAAGTCAAATACTGAGTTCAAACCCCAGCTTTTTATATTCATTCTAAATGACCTGGGCCAAGTGAACTTGTCCCTGTGAGCTTTAATATTCTCACCTATAACTGAGTGGGTAAAATATAACAATTCCATGTTGAATGATTGTGATATTGGAGGCTATGAATGAGCTAGGCGTGTGCTTGTGTAAACAATATCATTCTATCATCCATGATGTCAATTGTGCCTAAGGACTGGAAACATACCAGAAGATTTTGACTGGAGTCTTGGTGTCATTCCTCCTGCTTTTCTTCCTCCTGCTTCTTCTCATCCTCTTCCGATACTGGTGTAGTTGCAAAAAGAAGAAGGCTTGTAAGTAGAGTGTGAGTGCATTGGGTGTCTGGAGGTGGTGGGCAGAGAAAACATGTAGTCTCAAGACATGTACAAATTCAAAGATATTGTAATATTTTTCCATCTTTTAGAGTATTTGTATGGTCATAGCAAGGGATTTAACAGTCTCTAACTCCAAAAGTTTCTATTGGTGGAGGCTTTCCATCCTCCTAGTTGATGCTTTTTCAATTCATACAGCTCAAAGAGAAGCCAACTTTCAAATGCTTTCAGGGGCACCAGACCCAACACACAGAGATAGACTTCACCAGAAGAGGTAATTCCTGCCCATAGACACAGTCTTCCAGCTGGCATATACCTTACTTCCACCTGATTATCCCTGTCTTCACAGCTCCAGCCCAGATGCTACCATCAATGAAAAACACCTGTGTGAGAATAAGAGGGCCCTGGGGAGGAGGATGCTCTAGATCTCAGCATCACAGGATTGGTGGGGAGGGTCTTGGGTTACCACTCAGGGGGAAAGAACATTTACAATGGTTCTAGAGATGTAACCACACTCTCTGATTCACTACTCCTTATGGGACAAGGACATGGGTCTGAATTGAAGAGATCCCAGAGCCTCTGGCCAAGAATTGACTCCTTTCTTCCAACATGACAGATGCTTCTGTTAAGAACACACAATCTGAGGACAATACAGAGCTGAACAGTTGGGTGAGACTCCTGCTCCATTCATTGATAAGAGCTTATGGTCTAGCAGTACTTTGTGCCAGTAAGAACCACATGTGACCCCTCCATCTGGAAGAGTTTGACTCTGTGAACTATGATATCTCCTTTTTGGTTTCCCTATGACTGTGTGGACCTTCTCTCCAGCCTCTTTTCTGAATGTTTGTTATCTATCTGTTGCTTAGCATTAGGTGCCTAATATCTCAGAAGGACAAATGAGTCAGTGAGCCCTCACTACCACACCTAGTCCATCTATACTCATTCACCCTGTTATCCACAGAGAATTTCTTTTTTATTAGCTTGAGGATGATTTTATTAGGGTTTAAAGAAAAAATGTAGCACAGGCAATCAGTTAATCTTAGCAGCTGCCAGGTGGAGAAAGAGGAAATTAAGAAAAGAAATTGGGGGAAAACCATACTGTTTGAGTAGAACTGTGATGAAGAGAAACTATGTGACAGGAAGAACATACAAAGTAGGGCGATAAGATTTAAAGAAAGGGTGAGGAATCACAAAGTGTTGGGGAAAGTGTGTTTAAAATAGATATACAAAAAATTAATTAAAGTTATGAAATAACTCAGAGTAGTAGGCATATTTACAAAATTATGTGGCAGCAGCACTATAAGCTACAGCTGAGATTGTCTCTTTCTTCCAGCTCTTCATAGGGACTGTGAACAGAGCAAAGACCAGAGCTCCTCATCCAGTTTAAGCTCACCTCAAGCCTAGAAAATGAAATGTGTATAACTGAAGAATGTTAGTGGTGTGGCAAATGAAACAGAAAATATATAGTGTGTGAGACACACAGGGTCAGTGTGCCTCATAAGGGGAAACTGACTAGGTTTATTCTGGGGATAACTGTGAATGGAGAAGTCCAGACAGACATCTAATGAACCAGCACACATAGACAGAAAATACGGCAGATGCAAAGGTCCTCAGACATGAAGATGAGAATGTAGCTGGAGTTGAGCAAACAGGAGTCAGTGTGAGAATAAAAAGCTGGAACTATGAGAAGGAAGTGTCCAGACTCCCCAAGTTCTGGGGAAGCATCTGAAGGCCCCATCAGGAATGATACAATGTGACTTAAGTTTCTAAAGGATCTCTCTGGCTGAAGGAGATACTGGATGAAACCAGGAGTCACTTTGTCCACCTAATTGTCTCCTTGATGCAGAACCCACCTGATGAAGACCCCCAAGGAATTGTGTATGCCCAAGTGAAACCCTCCAGGCTTCGAAAGGTAGGGGTTAATTTTTTCCACTGTCAGGAACCTTTTCCCTCAGCTTCATCCCAGCCCCATAAGTTACTAACTCTAAATACCTTCTTTCAACTCTATCCTACTCCAGGATACTGCATCCAAAGAGACCCAGGTTGTAACCTATGCTCAGTTGTGCAGCAAGACTTAGGAACAGGACAACAGCTGAGGCCAACAAGCAGCCAACACAAGAAGAAGACCCAGATCCCACATTCCATGAATGAAAACTAAGGATTTTCTAAGATAGTATTTGTTCCCAGTGAACTCTGTTAAATTAATGCCAGCCATCATGAATACCTCATGTGTCATCAGAAGCTTCTCAGAATTTTGGGAATATGCATTATTCTTTGTTCTGAGATAACAAATGTCCTTATGTTTTGTAAATAAAGCCAAATCCTTCTCAATAAACAGTTTATGAAATGAGAAACAAATGAAGTGAGATGCTCTGAATTGAATGACAATGTAACCCGGGCATACTGATCAATGAAACTGGAATTTTCAGAACCATGTATAAATCCATGAGCAAAGAAAATGTCTTCAGAAATCAGTGTCCTCATCTATTATAATGTGAATATAGAATGATAAAGAGTAATCAACTATCTCAGATGAAGTCATAGGAGAGGAAAGTGTGATATAAGAAAAGCCACTGGCCCTGCATGATGGCAAGCCATCCCAGGCAAGTAAGTAGAAGACCTGGGATCAATGCCCTACCTACCATATTAGAAAGATCCTGTCTCAAAGTAAAAATGACCCAACACATATAGCCAGGACTAGTTAGACTTAGTAAGCTATTTTTATTATTGGATATTTTATTTACTTACAATACAGGTGTCATCCCCTTTCCCCATTTCCCCTCCCTAGAACCCTCTAACCCATCCCCCTCCTCTTTTATGCTTTTATACCATTTTGATTACATGCATGTATTAAGGTCAGTTCTAAGTTGAGGGTCTAGCAATACAATCGATGCAAATAGTCAAGGAACAAACAATACAATAAACACAAATAGTCAAAGAAAAAGCAAGGCATTAAACTCAATTATGTGAACACTCCCATGATCACTGTTTCTAAGGGCTTATCAGGATGACCAGAGTATCTGAGCCTACTTCCCTGTCCTAGCCCACGTTCATTTTCATGTCTGAAGCCTACTTCCTTGTTGTAACCTAAGTTAATTTTTTAAGACATGAATTTGGGAGGAGCTATTGAGGCATATTTAGGCAGTGCTGCAGGGGGAGCTAAGATTAACTATAATCATATTTTATTGTATAGATGTATGAACTCAAAAATAAAGGAAAAAAATTAAATGGGCATCTCTGGTGATTAGCTGGAACCTTTGGATAGAGGAGGATATGATAAGCCTATAGAGGTGACCTTAGCTGAGGTTCCTACCAGAAGAAGATATAGAGACTTAAGTGGCCACCTCCTATAGCCAGGCAAGACTTCCAGAGGAGACAATGAGACATCAATCCACCTACAAAACCTTCAACCCAAAATTTGTCTTGCCTACAAAATGTGCAAGGGATAAAGATAGAGCTCAGCCAACCAGTGACTGCCCCAACTTGAATCCCATCCCATGGAAAAAAGCCACTCTCTAACCCTATTAATGATACTGCGCTATACTTGCAGACAGGAACATGGCATAACTGTCTCCTGAGAGGATTCATTCAGCAGCAAATGAAGGCAGATGTAGAGATCTGTTGGGAGCCGCGAACGCCATTCAACAATGGCGCGGCTCCGTGTGGGAGCCGCATACGCCAAC